CGCCGTGGCCCCATTAAGAGCTCCGCCAAGGGCCCCAGTGGCACAGCCCGCAAGGCATACCCGCATCCGATGTTACACCCCTCACACGCTTCGTGACCCCCTAGGAAGCTCCGCCGAAAGCCCCAATGGCACCGTCCGCATGGCGTACCCGCGTCCGGTGTGGCACAACCCCCACGCGTTTTGCGTCACGCCGATGACGACTCTCACAAAGGCGGTACTTACAATTGCAGATTGCTGAGTCCTGCGCAAGGCTGATGTGTGTTTTCACCTCGTGATCCCGACCGCTCCACATAACTTCTTTTGCTCAGCATGGAGAGGCCCTGTCCCTTCGCAACCCCTGGGAATGTTGCGCCTGGTTACGGCTGGATTACCCTCGACATTCTGGCCAGAAAGCACCCCAGGAAAGAAGGCCGATGAGGACAACGTTTTTCTCGGTTGTGCCCGCCCCTCATTCAGGACGCGGTCCAATGAAGCTCCAGGACGACGCCCGAAGAAACCCATTGACCTGGAGGGGTACGTCAGCGCCGTCGCCGCCGCCGCCGCCCTCGCCCTCGTCGCGACGACGACGACGAACTGCTCCTCATCCTCATCCTCCTCAACATCTCGGCTGCCTCCTCCTCCATCCTCCCCCCCCCCAAAAAAATATTGTCCACCAGCACCTCATGATCTGTCTCTTCATCCTCTTCCCCATCCTCCCCCACTGATCCTGGACACGGTTATCAAACGCCGCCGTCACGATCGCCCCTGTCCTCGTCCTCGACGTCCTCCTCCTCCTCATCCTCCTCTCTGCCGCCGTCTCCTTCCTTCTCCTCCTCCTCCTCCGCCCTGCCGCCGTCTCCTTCGTCATCCTTCTCCTTCTCCTCCCTCCTCTTCCTCCGCCTCCTGACTCCGCACCCCTCCTCCACGATCCCCCCATCCCGCGCGGGGGCCGGAGGGAGAGAGGGACGAGGGGCAGGAGGGATGACGGCAGGTAGGAAGGTATAGAGGGTGAGGCGACCAGGCGGGAGGGATGAGGTGACACTTTAGGGCAAATCTATGGGTGGGAGGGGTGCTTTGCCCGGAGGAGGGAAGGGCGAGAAGGAGGGAGGGGAGGCAGAAGGAATGGAAAAAGAGGGCAGAAAAGGAGTACGGGAAGTTCGGGAAAGGAGGGGGAGGGATGAGCAGCGGGGAGGGAGGCGAGGGGAAAAGGATGGGTGCATTTTAGAATTCTAGGTTGGCCCCGCCCGCTCCCAGAGGGCGCGAGGTCATGGCAGAGAGAAGCGCGACAGCAACTGACACGACGACGACGACGAAGCACTGCAACGGCCGGGACTGCGATGGGAGAAGAGGGGAGGGGGTGGGAAGATTGCAAGAGGGGCAACATGGGGGACATCGGGCCGCTCGCAAGGCAGACCGCGGAGCTGCACACAACGGTGTTGCACCGTACGTCCCGCGTCGTCATCTCGGAGATGAGAGCCAAGCCAGCCTGAACGGCAGCCGCTTCGGCTTGAAGGAGGGCTCTCTTCTCGTCGCTCCACAAACATTTCACAATCCAAGCCTGGAGAATGGAGCAATAGATCGAGTACAATGGGTGACTATAACTCCACCAGCCCTTCAATGCCTGCCTGTGTGGTTACGGCGTTCCCTCTTCCAACCACCTGCTTCCCCTTCGGTGAGGGGTTCACCACAATTCTTTAGTAATATACACCCCCTCCCCCGCTTGACCGAACACAGAACAGAACCATGACACCCCCTCCCAACCACCAACACTGACAAACCAAAAACAATGCAGAACGCACGTTGCGACAACATCAAATATGGATCATGCACGGGCACCAAGCGATCACGGTGTGGATTTGTTTGGCAAGGACGAGGGGGCGCTGGCAAACTGCCTGCTACACAAAGGCTACAAGCAATGATAACTGCACATTCCAGCCACGAGCACGCGCGGGCGCCACATGATCACTTGACACTGTTAGTTGGAACGGATGATGGAGGTGCCCTGGAACGCGCGGCGCAGCTCGCGGGCATCGCGCACCTGGATGAGGTCGGCGTTGGTGTCCGAGGACTGTCGATGGCGGTCGCTGCTCATACGCTGAGACTATGAAGCTAATGTCGGGGAGACGTAAGACCCGGGTACGGGGGACTCGGAAATCCCCGACGAGGTCGTCAAAAAAATGACGAGGCCGAGCCTGCATTTTGACGAGGCCTCCCGCTGCAGACATCCCACGAAACTCCTCCTCGTCAAAATCCGAGGCGCGGTCGTCAAAAAACGGTGGCGAACCCGAGTCCCGGCAAACCCGGGTCTTGCGCTCCCCCGATAATGGGAGGGCGGCTGGGAATGAGCGAGACGGCGGTCCGTCGCCGGGGGAGCAGCTTGACCCTCACCCTACCCCCCATCACTGGGTCTGAACGGGGGGGGGGTCGCGACCAGCTAGGGCGGTCCAGGGGGCCTATCGCTCCCAGAGGCTCTAGATAACTCAAGATTGCCTCGAATGTGGCTCGGAACATCTCTAGATGGCTCAATGTGACTTCCAACCTGCTCCTAAAGGCCTCACGGCTATCTCAAGACGACTCCCATTAATCGGCCACGCGCAGCTCCGAAAAGAGGCCCCCAAAGGCCAAACGCATTCCTTAACCCAAAGGGGGCAGATGATGTGTGCCTTCTCACCTGTTCGCTTCCGATTGGCTTCCAATGCCTAGGCAGAAGCCCTACGAGAGCCCCAAGATGGCCCAAAGACGGCCCCCCAAGGGGGGGGCCCTTTCATCAACAATGGGGCCCAAGGTCGCCCCCAAACCTCCACCATGCGCCCCAGAACGGCCCTTAGACCGGGAGCCCCCTTTCATCAACTATGGGGACCAAAATCGCCCCAAAACCTCCACCATGCGCCCCAGAACGGCCCTTAGACCCCCCGGAAGAGCCCCAAGAGAGTCCCGTGGTGGCCCCAAGAGGCCCCCCGAAGGCCCAAAGAAGACCCCGCGATGTCCCCAAGAATCCTCCAAAACAGCTTTCACGACGAGCGGTCCGCGAAGGTATCCGTCTCGTCATCCTTCCCCATGGACAGCAGCTTGAATGCACACGCAACGGAACGGCAGCGCAAACAGAATGCCACCACGCTCTGATCTGCTGTCGTACGCCGTGCGGTTTGCAACGCTGCATGGTATACACCATGAGATGCAATGCTATCCTGAGGCATCTGTGCTGTGCTGTGGTGTCCTACGCCGTCCTGGCTGCCGTCAGGACGAGTGCCCCGAGTTCCCCGGATGCCTCCAGAAACCTCCAGCCACCCCACCCGCCCTCCCCCCCCTCCCCCACCCCAACCCCACAAACAATCCCGAAGCCTGACGCCCTCGAATGTCGAACATCGGGATTTCAAGGCAACAGAAACTCCCCGAGCTTGACGCCCTCGAATGCCGCACATAAAGACTCCAAGGCAACAGCACACCCCAGAGCCTGACGACCTCGAATGTCGAACATCGAAATCCCAAGGCAACAGCAAACCCCAAAGCGTGACACCCGTGAATGTCGAACATCGAGATTCCAAGGCAACACAAAATCCTAAAGCCTGACACCCTCGAATGTCGACCACGGGGGGAGGAGCGGTCTCGCCGAGCCGATCCACGCTCTGCCCCCACCCCTGCTCACGCCAGGGCCCAGCGGGGGACAGAGCGGGGAGCCTAAGTTTGTAGTGTTTTCCTGGCCCCCTTAGCGCCCGGATGTGGAGGCCAGATGCAGAAAGAGCTCGACCACACGAAACCTTCCACAAAGAAAGCCAATCCTGAGACCCCAGGACGTTCATTGTTCTTGGGTGTGGGAATGTCACGCTTTCCATAGGAAAACCATCGAAACCCACGAAACCCAGGGAACCTGGAGACAAGCAAGGCGTTTCCTGGCATGGGTTTCCACTAAACTGCTCTCCTGGCCCACTTAGCGCCCAGATGTGGAGGCCAGGTAGGGGGGGTTTGGTCCGCGCCCCAATCCCCTTTGTCGACTGGACAACTCCTTCTGGACACCCTCTCGGGGATGCGCGGTGAGGGTGCCTTCATCCTCTACAAGCGCATTGTCTGATTGACCTCCCAGAGGTGGATCCCCGGGCTCCCCTCCACGTATAAATGACAATTCTTCTGGGGGGGGGGCTCGTGGGCTGGAGGGCAAGAAGTCGCCTGCGCCAATTGGGCGCCTGGACTTGAAGGCAGCAGCAGGGGGGGCCCTCTGGAGAAAGATTCGATCGCCCATCGCCGCCGAAGCTAGAGGAGGCCCGCGCGGATCTCTCGGATCGGCGCCGGAGGCCCCTGGTGGCGCCTCGGCCGCCGCCCACGGAGCCCTTCGTGCGCTGGGGGGGGCCCAGCGCAGGCCCAAGAAAGCCAAGCGGACCTCGCCTTGGGGAGGAGCAAGCACCGATACCGCCACTCCCAAGACCTCACCGCACCTGACGAAGGCTCCCCAAGGCGAGCAACTGCATCGCTACATTTTCCTCCTCTGAGACCTTCGGAAATTTACGCGCGTGGCGTTTCCTGAAAGGCGGCCAGGGTGTCTGAACTGGAAGGGCCACGAGAAAATCGGTCATGAAAAGGGGATCAAGGCAAACCCGTTCAGAATCGGTTCCCGGACGCCTCCCAAGGTCCAGCTGGTTCAATTTCCAACCCCGGATCCGTTCTTGACGGTTCCGGGGCCCGAAAACAGCCACTGGAGGGCGATGCAGGCAAACACCTTCTCGGACCCAGAACCTCGGCCCTCGCCCCCCCTTCCTGCTGGTCGGAGCCAGTGCTGGGCCACCGCAGACCCCCAGCTGGCTCCAAGCGCTTCTCTCCTCCTCGAGAAGCGGGGTTGGCGCGGCCACCGGCCTCCTCCTCCCCCTCCTCCTCCTCCTCGTCCTCGTCCTCCTCTTCCCCCCCTCCTCCTCCCCTCCTCCCCCTCCTCCTCCTCCTCCTCCTCCTCCTCCTCCTCCTCCTCCTCCTCCTCCTCCTCCTCCTCCTCCTCCTCCTGGCGAGAAGCGAGAGGGGGACTGGTGGCCACCGGCCTCCCAAAGGCCGAAGCGCTCGCAGGCGCTGGTCGCCGCGCCGTACCTCGGGCCGCTGCTCCCCGGGGTCAGCGGCAGGGGCTCAGGTTCCGACCGGCCACCGCTGGGAGAGCCTGTGCTCCTTACCCACCTGGGGGAGCCATCGCACCGACGACTTCTCGAGGAAGGGTGTCGAAGCCAATGGGCCCCCCAGGGGGGGTGAGGATCATGGCTCCCCCAAGCGCTGCTGGTCTGCAGCTTGCCCTGGAAACGACAGGGCCGTCCCTTCACCGGATCAACCGTGCCATCTCTGTTTCCCGATTTTTGAGCGCCGCTTCTTCCCCCAATCTCGTGGCAGTGTGTGCTCCCAGTGCAGGCTCTGGTTCCAAGCCCTGTTCCCGTCGCCGTTTGCGTGACCGCTGCTCCCACTTGGGCGCCCGAGTTATCCGGGGTAACTCGGGTCCGGGGTAACTCGGGCTTGGATTCCCGAAAAAGGAACCCGAGTTAGCCCTGACCCGAGTTACCCCTGATGACGTGGGGCTCGGGACGCCCGAACTATCCGGGGTAACTCGGGCCCAGGGTAACTCACTCGGGTTCGGATTCCCGACAAACGAACCCGAGTTAACCCTGACCCGAGTTACCCCTGATGATTAGGGGCTCTGACCCACTGTCCAGAAACCATTATTGAAATCTGTAAGCAACCCCAGAAAGCTGTCCTGCCGCTGCAGTTGCCAACGAAGGCCAAGTGGGCAGCGCAGAAGATTGACTAGCCGCGGCGAGCCTCGGCCACGAAGTGGGTGCGAACAAAAGTGAGAGCACTGCCCAACAGCGAGTGCTGTCCAAGAGCGACATTGGCCGCTGCTGGGCACGGCGGGCTTTAGCCTCAAGTTGACAACGTCCGCGGCGACACCGAGCGCGAGTCGCCCAGGACCTTCGCCCACCCCAGTGGGAGCCTCCCGTGCCGTCGTGCCGGCTTCTGCGAAGCGACCCTCGCCGACGCCAGTCGACGCGGATCGACGCTGACTCGGCGCCAATCGCTGCTCCATCGGAGCTCTCCGTCGATTGCCAGACGCCAGCGCACGCTCATGCGCCGTAAAGGTGGCACTGCGAGGACACGCCATGCTCCCGTGACAGACGAGGAGAAGACGCCATACACAGAACCTTTTAGCGCTCCGCGCGGATGTCTTGGATCCGCTCCGCGCGGGGCCGGCGCGCCGGCTGGGGGGGCCAGCGCGGACCCAAGAAATCCGCGCGGAGCGCTAAAAGTTTAGGCTTGCGTGGTGTGTTCTTCTTCGGCGTGCCTTGCCACCGAACGGAGGAGCTATTCCTTGCCGCGGCGAGTCTCGGCCACGAAGGGGCTCTGCGACCCAGGTCTGGGGAGCGGTCCACACGCCGGGGGCCACTGCTGGACCCCACAAGCGGTCCTTGCCTCAACGCCTTGGCTGTTTTTGTAGGCGGCGAGCCAGGGGGGGAAGTGAGAAGGGGCGTACCTTCTCAGAAGGCTCGGAAGTCCCCCGGACTTCTGAGAAGTTTTCGAAGCCTTCCCCGAAGACAGACAAAAACTTCTCGAAGGCGCGAGGGCTTCTGAGAAGTCCCGCCGCCTTCTGAGAAGGCCTTCTCCTTCTCAATTCCCCCCCTCGCTCGCCGCCGATTTTGGATTTTGCGCCGTGCGATTCTTATCACGGCATGAAAATGTCTGAGACTTCCGGCAAGGACGGTCCTGTGGCAGGTATGCTTGGCACCCAAGGAAAGACCGGTCTCGCCTTCATCATTGCGGCGCGCACTCTGGGCTTGCGGGATGTGGGGATGTACATCAGCCCATTCAACGAATTTTCTATTTCAATGGGGATGGAGACGCTGCCCTTGCGAATGCAAGAACACAAAGGGAATGCATTGTCAGTGGCTCTGCTCTTGCAGAAGCACGAGAAGGTCCAGTGGGTCCGCTATGGCGGTCTGAAGGACGACACATCCCACGGCTTGCACCTGAAGTATTGTTTTACAGGCGCCGGCGCCCTCTTCACATTCAAGCTCAAGGGAGGACACGAGTCTGGAAAGAAGCTCGTGGACTCGGTCAGACTGATTTCTTGCGTGGCAAATGACTGCCTACCAGACCACCCCAACCCAACCCGAAGACCCGAATTTGACCCGAATTTAGGGTTGGGGGGGGTACGGATACCATGTGTTTTTTCAACGTTCCCCGACCCCCCCCCACTGGAAATGGAAGGCAAATTGAGGGCTTCGGGTTGGGTTGGGGTGCTTTGGTGGGCGGTGAAAACCTTGGCGGCAGTCGCACGCTCATTGCGCACCCCTCGTCGATGATGCACTCGCAGCTGACAGGAGGAGCAGAGGAAGACCACAGGCGCGGAGGGCGAGACGCTTCGCACCTTGATCGGGATCGAGGACGTCGAGGACATCACTTCCGATCTGTCCCAGGACGGGAGGACATCACTTCCGATCATCACGTCGGGATCGAGGACGTCGAGGACGTCGAGGACGTCGAGGACATCTCGATCGGGATCGAGGACGTCGAGGCCCTGGAGTCAGGAGGCAACGATCGGGGGGGGGCCCGCTCAGTGGGGGAAACATCGGCCCTGGATCGGCGATACTTCGCCGACGGATTGGCGGTGTGCCCCGAACGCGAATCCGAACGCTCCTGGGCGTGTGAGGATGATGGGCGGGACGGAGGAGGAGGAGGAGGAGAAGAAGGAGGAGGAGGAGGAGAAGGACAGAGAGTAGGATGAATGGACCGGAGGGACGGATGGACGAAGCGAGGGGATTGGGATGGGGGCTGGGAGGGTCGATCGTACAGAAGCTACCAAGCAACTCATCGAACACTGCGTGGCTTCCTCTGGCGATGCCAAACTCATGCGCACGAGCCAGGTTTTCGCAGGTACCCGCTTTCCCACTCGATCGTCCCCGCCCACTCCCTTTCCTCACCTCCTGCGAAGACACCCCACGCCTCGTCGGTTTTCCCCGGCAAGCTGCCTCCGAGATGGGACCTGGCTGACCGCACTCCTGAGCCATCCCTAGTGCCAAAGCATCGCTAACTAGTTGCTTGGATCAGGGCCCTTGACCTGTGGGCGTCTCACGACGGGCGGCTTCCTTTCATGAGCCCCAGGACCATGAAACACCTGCCTGGGACGAACCTCCTGTCCAGCGGAAGGGTTTCAGTGCTCCAGTGGAGCCGCGATGCGACAGAGGTCACGTCGTCGGATACCTGGGCAATCAGGCAAGCCTGCGGCGGCCTCAACCGCTTCTGGGTGGGTACGCTTCCCAGGCCACCTGACTTCGCGCGTCGCGACCAGCGGTGTACTGCTATCTTCGTGCCCAAGCGCCGCCTCCACGGAGAACATCAACTCCCCGACATTGGCGCAGACCGCGACGCGCGAACCGAGATTATCTTCGCGCCACCAAGGGTGACCCAGACTTCGCATCGAGATTTGGGTGCAGAGCTGCCCGATAGACGTGCTCCCTGCCCTGCGGGGAAGCGGAGGTGGACGAGGACGAGGGCTGAGGGTCGGGGAGGAGCGGGAGCAGGTCGCTGAGCTGCCCCAGCCTGGGCGCGCCCCGACCTGCGCAGGTCGCCGAATCGCCCCGCCCTGAGCAAGCCGCTAAACTGCCCCGTGCCTCGTAGAGCTCTGTCGGCGAACCGAGCCGCCAAAGGAATCCGGACCCGAGGCACGACCAATTGGGCGAACCGCCGGCAACGGACAGTAGGAGCAAGAAGAGCGAGAAAGGCGAGGCCGACTTCGAGCCGAGCAGCCGCCGACCTCCGGCCGTTGAAAGAACAGACGGCGGAACACGGGCACGTGACCGCGTCAACAGTGGCCGCCCTCTTCTTCATGCTTGCCAGCAGGGACAGCGCCACGGTCCACTGCCCCCCGCGGTCGCAAGCCGAGATGGCGGCGTTGAGGGCGATGGAATCCGCCTCGGAATCGATCGTGGGGCGAAGAGAGGGGGGAGGGAGATGTAGGAAATCGTGGACACCAGGCGAATGGGCACGACAGGTGGCGACGACGAGTGAGGGGCGACGGCGAAATATATCGACGGCCGCGACGAGTAGCGAAGACGAAGAGCGACGACGCCGAGAGACTACATCGTGCGACAACGACGGCGACGCCCACAAACGACGGAGATCGGAGGATTCATGCCGACGAGCAACGACGACGAGTTTAGAGCGATGACGGCGAGGGGTGACGGGCGCACACGACTGACGACGGCGGCGACGCCGACAAATGAGAATGACGACGACGGCGAAGAGTAACGCAACGACGACAATCACGAAGTACGATGATCAGAGAAGTCACCACATCGACAAGGGACGACGACGGCAGCGAGTGTCGAGCGACGACAACGAGGAATGATGGACAATGACGACGGTTAAGACGACAATTAACGACGACGAGGACGAGAGATGACAACGACGACGACAAATGACGAAGACGAGCGACGAGGAAAAGTTACGACGACGTCGACGAGCGGCAATGACAACGCGTGGCGCAGACCACGACTGACGACGAAGACGGCGACGACAGCGACGACGAGCGATGACGACGACGACGACGACGACGACGACGACGAGCGATGACGACGACCACGATGACGACGACGAGCGGCGACCACGTCGACCAGTGAGGACGACGAGGACGACGACAAGAAGTGACAACAACGACGACCACGAGTACGAAGAAAACAACTACGACGACCACGACGGCGCCGGCCAACGACGGTTGCAACGACGACTGCATAACAAGCTCCACAGAAGGCCCCAGTGGCTGCATTCGCATGCGCCCACCGCACACATCTCGACACACCCCTCACACGCTTCAAGAGGGGCTCAAGACGGCCCAAAAGGCATCCAAGACGCCCAAGATGGCCTCCAAGACGGCCCTGAAGCGCCCCAAGAAGGCACCGAGTCGGTTCCGAGAGGCATCTGAGACGGCGTCCACCGGCGTCAGACAGACCAGGAACGCGCTAAGACGACCAAGGCGGCCCCGAAGAAGCCCCCAAGGGCTCCCAAGAGGCCCAAGGAGTCCACCAAGAGGCCTCCAAGATGCCCCCAGGAAGCTCCCAGGAGACCTCAAGAGTGCCGCAAAATGCTTCCAAGAGACGTCCTCCTCATTCCTTTCCGCCTCCTCCTCCTCCTTCTCGTCCTCCTCCTCCTCCTACTCCCGTTGCCTTCTTCTCCTCATTATTCTCTTCCTCATGTGTTCCCCGAAAAGTTTCAACGACAGCTGGGTGAGCACACGGTCCGATAGCTCTAGCCATACTTTCGGTTCGGCCACATAGGCGCTTCCAAAAAGGCTGGAGGCGGCGGAGATTCGCCGTAGGCGTCTGCGATGTTATGGATTCCTGCCCCAGATCTCGGGCTTTTATCCTCCCCTTGCCCCTCCTCTCCCCCTGCTGAGCCTCGGGATACTATATCTCTTCTCGCCTCCCGTTCCCTCCCCAATCCCCCCTTCCCTCAATCTCTCCTCTCAGTCCATCCCGTACCCTCCCGTGTCTCTTCCCCCCTCTTCCCTACTCCCCCACTCGAACCTCAGGGTGCGGTTCTATCCTCTCCTCTCCTCTCCACTCCCTCATTCCTCCCTCCCCTCTCTCCTGTCCGTTACCCATCTCCCTCCCTCTCCGAATAGGCCCACCGTCAGGGCGCTGGCTTCCATCTCGCTGAGCGTCTGGAGCGCCAGCTCCCACCTGCCCACACGACTCCCACGACCCAGAGAGAGAGAGAGAGAGGTGTAGAGAGAAAGAAAGAGAGAGAGAGAGAGAGAACACGATTAATCGACATCGAATCGAAAAAAAGGATCGGGTCGGAACGCGCGTCGGATCTGACCACGTTAACAAGGAGTCGAGGTCGAATCGGATCGGGACAGGATGCGCAACAACGCCACGCAAACATCGGGCCACATCGGATCGTCAGGGTCACGGAATCGAGCCGGATCGGGCCGACCAGAGCCGATACCCAATCGGATCGATAGAATCGGAATTGACACTGGGGAGGGAGACCAGAGCCGATGTCCAATCGGATCGATCGACTCGAAAAGGACACTGGGGGGAGAGAGGAAGCAACCACCAACGAGGGACATGCAGCCACCAGGGCCAGCAAGGCAGGAAGGCAAACGAGGCTGAAGGAGAATCGTGAGGAAGTTTGGACCGCAGAAAGTGGTGAGGGAACAGTGGGTACGATGCCCAACAACAAAGGCTGTCCAAAGCCGGCCTCCTGTCTCGCATGGACGACCTCCGAGGCAACACCGACCGCGAGCCCTGCTCAACATGAGCAGGAACGGCTGTCGGTCTTCGTGCCCATCCCTCCCGTTCCCATTCCGATCGTCCCATCCTTTGTGGGCCCCGGAAACGGCAGAGCCGTTTTGTCACCGTTTCCAAAAAAATGTCCCTTGAAAATGGAAACGGCAAAAAAACGGCGACCGGAAACGGCAAAAAAACGGCTCCAGGATTGAAACCGGAGCCAGAACCGGTGAAAAAACGGCGACGGAACCGGTAAACATACGGCGTCGGAACCGGCAAAAAAACGGCAAGACGGAACCGGTAAAAAAACGGCCCTGTCGTTTCCAGGGCCCACTAAGGCCCATCCCTCCTGTACCCGTTCCGATCGTCCCATCCCGAAGGCCCACTCGGCCCCTCGGGGGCTGGCCGTGATCGGATCTCGGTGGGTGCCGCTCGGCGCCCGCCGCCCGCTCCAGCCGGCCCGCCGCTCGGGCCGCCCCCCGGGGGCTGGGCCTGCCTGCCGCGGCGGAGGCGCCCACGCGCGGCGGAGGCGCCCACCGCGCGGCGGCGGCGGCCTGCCGGGCACGCTGCGAGAGGCGCCCGCACGCCGCCCTCGCCGAGCTGCTGCGCGAGAGGAGCGGCGGCGAGCCCCGAAGGGGGGAAAAACGCAAGAGGAGGCGGGACGTCACCGAGGACGGGGACGGCCTCCCAAAAGGTCGTATAGGGCTGACGAGGAGCCCCACCGCCTTCTCAGAAGGCCTGCCCCCTCTCTCGGGGGCGGCCGAGAGGGGGGTGTCCAAGAGAAGGGGGGGGGGGCGCAAAGCACGGCCGGCGGCATGTGCGCGGCCCAGGGGGGGGGAGGCCAGGGACGTGATGAAATAAGAAGAGGCGCTATGACATCCGAGGAAACATGGTGGCCCACACCATGATGTCCCCGCCCCCTAGTCATCACCCCCCTCTTTGCCGCCCCCGACTCGCAGTTCCCCCCCCGGGCTCGCCGCCGAGATGAGCCCGGGCCGACGCTCTCTGGGGGCCTGGGCCCGGCCGCGCCGCAGCGCGGGAGGCGGGGCTGGGTGGCGCGGCGGGGCAGGAGGCCCCACGCAGCAGACGTGGCGACGCGAGTCACGGCCGCCTGCCCGACTGGAAGCACTGCTGAGGTGGGAGCGGAAGGAGAAACGCGAGTGGGCCTGCCCCACTGGGAACCCAGCTGGAAGCTTGACTGGAAGCACTGGGAGCCCGTCGGGCGCACCGCCTGCTTGGACGAGCGCAAAGGCCCTGGCGAGATACCAAGCCGAGTGCGCGAAATCCCAATCGTCACGGACTTCCGTGGAGATCCCGCATCCTCGGAAACCACATAAAGTATGCAACAGTCCTGCGCATGCGGACGGGCGTGCTTGCGCGGCTGAAAGGTAACCAGGTCTACAGCGATAAGGCCCTTCTGGTATCCATCACTGCGTTGAACGCGGCTCCCAAAACAGACCTTCGGGCGGAAGATGTGCGAGGACGTACAACAGCACGTCTACGAAGAAGCCGCTGGTTGGGCCGCGATGAAGGCCGTTGGAAGCGACGGGCCCACATTGACGCAAGGAACTTGCGAGGAGAGCATGGCGAAGGAGGCCGCACCCCGGACGAGGAGGCCGCGGACTCCAGCGAGGGGACCAACTGCCCCCGACGAGAGAAGCAACAAACATAGCTCTGGCAAGAGCCACAGCAATACGGCAGGTTCTTGTCGTGACGACTTTGGCATTGGTCCTTGACACCGCGTAGATCTTTCAACCTTGAACGATCGGCGGCTTTCCAATTGCCCGATGGGCCGGTCCTGGGCCTCTGGCGGCGTTCAACCTTGAACGCCCGCGGCTGGGTCGCCACCGCGTCGACACCACAGGAACCTGCCGTAATTACCCAACCCCAGGTGAGCCGCGCCACTGTGGAGTTCCGTCCCGTCCCAGGCCCCGTGCGCTGACGACGACTGCTGTGAGTGCGGCAGCGGCGCAGTCCAGTGCCACTGTGGCACGTTCGTGTTCCCTGCAGGTGCTCTGCGCTGTCCACGAGGAGCGGTCGCCCTCTCGCGCCCTTCTGGTGGGCTGCACCGCGCTGGCGCTGAGAGCTTCCGCCACGGCACCGGGGCCGGGTCAAGGCCGGCCTGAGGCTAGCCTCGGCATGCTGAATCAGGACGCGACGGTGCCCGTGCCCGGTGTCGCCAGGAGAGCCCAGAATCGAATCGATAAGTCGGATCGGCGATCGACATGGCTCGAATCGGTGGAAATCCACGGCCAGGTCGGGAAAAGTCGGATCGGCGGAAATCGGCAGGCCGGAAAGCCTCCATTGAGGAATCGCAAGCCAGATCGGAAGCCGTCGCCGCATCGAGCCGGAGTCGGAATCCATCGAAATCGGATCGAATCGAACCGGAGGAGTCGAGACGAGCCTGGTGCACCGAATGGTCCTGGCAAAAAAAACCCTGCGGGCAGGCGGTGCGCCACCTGCGGGCCTCCACCGTGCCACCCGCAGCAGGCGGGTCGACGAGGCCGACGAGGCCACGAGCACGGCGGCAAAGGGCCCGTCGCCCCAAGCGAGGGGCCGGCGCCGCGGAGGCAGCCGGCGCCGCGGAGGACGAAGCACTCGGCCGTACGAGGGAGTCGCCGACTCGGACAAGGCGACCCTGAACAGGGAGGGCGGACGAGGCCACGCGCTCCGAGCACGCCAGCACGGGTGGGATCGACGCTACATCTGCCGAGGAAGCAGGCAACTCCGCCGAGGCACGCGATTTCCCCATCGGCACGGCATGCGTCCCGAATGATGTTCTATGGCGATCGCGCATCAGTGGAGACAAGAAACAGAACGCCAAATTCATGCGCATGGGGACGGGCGTGCAGATGCAGCTGAAGAGAAACTGGACCTGCGATGACGAGGCCCTCACGCTATCCATCACTGCTTCGAGGGTACCACCCAAGGAGAACGTTCAGATCTGTGTGGGGATGTGCGATGACCTCCTGCACATCTTTACGTTGAAGCCGCTGGGTGGGCCGTGGAGGGGGCAGCTGAAAGGAACGGACCTTTTCTGATGCAGGGCACAGAATCAGCCGCCTTCGACAGGCCCACAGATGGCTCAAGCCTCGCTCTGCGCACAGAAGCTCGCTGGACTGCGCGGCAGCTTGTCGCGCCGCCGGCGCCGCAGACGAGAGCCGCCTGCCCCGACGTGCGCGGCAGAGACCGCCCCAAGGCACCAGCACGCGAGGGTGCTGCAGGCGCTCTGCGAAGCTCCTGGCTCGGGAGCTGGAGCGGTGGCGGGACGGGCCGGTGGGCCGCGACGGCCGCGCCCCTCGAGGCCGACGATGGCGACGGCGAGCGCGCGGCAGCTGGCCCCCTCAGGGAGCGGCGGGGGGGGCTCGCGACCTCCGGGGCGGGCCCTGCACGTGGGGCGGGCGGCACCCCCTCGAGCGAGCCGCGGGGGGCTCGGGAGCCCCGACGCCCACGCGGGGGGCGACTGGCGGTGCCCCGGCGGGGGAGCGGCGGGGCCGGCCCCGGGGGCACGGAGCAGCGCGGTGCCGGCGGCAGAGGCTCGCTCCGCGAGCCGCGCGGCCGCGGCCGCGCGTCGAAGCTCCGCGGGGACCTCAGCCCAGCAGCGCCCGAGGGAGGCGCTCGACGTCTTCCCGAACTCGAGCGCCTCGGAAGATGCAATCACCACATCTGCACCTGCACGGCGACTTCTCCCCGAGCTGGGGAAACCATGGAGTGAAGCACCGAGACCGCTACTCCCCAGACCTCTCCCGGGGAGCGTTCGGACCAGGATTTCGAGGCGACTCCAGCGATGGCGACGAGGGCTTCCCAGGGGGCCCCCAAAAAGGGAAAACGGAAGAAGGGTATGCAGCGGTATGGGTACCTTCCTCCTTAGACGAACGGCGCCGGTAAAACGACAGCCCACGAGAGGGCCCGCCGCGCGGCCAGCGGCGAATACTATTGAGCATCGTTTGACCGACCCCTCTCCCCACGGGCGTGGCCTGGGCCCCACCGGCCGACTTGCCCCCCAAATGGGGGTATAGGCAGTTTCCCTCGGGATTCGAGGGGTCTATTCCCAACTGGGAGGTGAGATGGTGGGGGTCTGGATGGGGGCAGGAAGGGGGATAGGCGTCGACCGATGAATCCTGAACTGTGGACCTGGCTCGATGGCGGGAGCGCCGCAGCAGGGACGAGAGGCACGAGGCGGAGCCCCTCCGTCCTCGCCCTCCTCGTCCCGACTGGCTCCGCGGCGGCCTGCGGTGCCCTGCTCCGCCCTCCCCCCACGCCCTTGCTCGGGGCGGCAAATATTGGAGGAAAAGGTACCCACTATCCTTCTCTCGTTTTCCCCGTTTTCGGTCTCCTGGGCGGCCCACGTCGCCACCGCTAGATTCGCCTCGAAATCCGGGTCAGAACGCTCTCCAGGAGAGGTCTAGGGAGCAGCGGTATCGGTACCTTTTTGGTCCCACAAAACTAGTTGCGAATAGCCAAAGGGAGTGAGCATTGCACATATTCGCCCAGGAGCTTCGCCGAATACACGAGAGATCGAAGACCCTGCCCAACTCCGTGTAATGCCTAAGGAACATCCAACTGGGGGCATGGCGACCACAATGACAGACTTTGCCCGGGTGTTCAATTGGGTCAACACTTTGGAGCCCTTAAGGGGATACACCATGGGGGGGACCTCCATGCTCGATAGGGCCTAGGGGTGCGGTCGAATAGCCGCCCAGGGGTATATTCCCGAGTTCCCCTTCCTTTCTGCACAGCAAGTTTATTGGGGGCAACTCTGGGGAGTGGAGGTGAGACATCGCCCGTAACGGCTGACGCAAAGACCACGCTTGACACCGGAGTTCGGATGTCACCAGAAGAGCCCCTGGTGTCCCCTGCATTTCGGGGGAGGCCCCGACAGACTCCGGAGCACCCCTCGCGAGGCCGAGAGGCTCCATGGGGGCTCCAGAATTACACGAGATAGCTGGGGACGCTTTAGGCCAAGAAGACATGTTGCCCCCCGCGAGGTGCTGAGGCAGAGCGGAATTCAAGCTCGAAGCCGGATTTGAAGCAGCGTGGTATTTGAGTTACAGCGCGATGATCCACAGGTGATTAGCTAACCGATGCACGTTGATGTGAGTGGGGGGTGCATTAGCGGGTGTCCCAATCTACTTGGCGTGGTGCGCCGAATGCCATCCGACTGTGCTGCTCGCTGCAGTGGTGCGGATGACAGCGGCGATGCTGCTGATCTTGCGGAGGTGCCCCGATTGCTTTGGCATGTTGCCTGCATCCCCTCTCACGGGAAGCGTTCCGAAGGCCAATCGCACTATTTCTGCCAAGGAGATGGCGGACAAGCTCGTGTCAGACTTAGACCGTCCAATATGGAAAAAACAAATGATACGAATCACGACAACTCCCAATTCCAGCTTTGCCCAACATCCATTCCGCTGATCGAATCTTCCTGCCGCTGTTATTGATGACAAGAAGACTATGTCATTATACTGTCACGTGTCGCAAACAATGCGCACCTAGCGCCGTTGCCGCACGCCGTAATTACAGCGCTGTAGGTAATTGTGGTTGCTGGAAGACTGTGTCCTCGAAGGCATCATGTAAAGAACAGCACACGGAACAACAACTCACCGCGCAAGAGCAACAGAACACCAGGAGGACGCGTATGGATAATCAATCCCACGACATGGAGAACGGGTTCGAGTGAGATGCACAAACCATTTGCGCCCAAACAAACAGATCACCGTGCCGCGAGGCACTACAATTGGAGGTCGCTACATGTAGATACGTGGGCGTCTGGGTGTCCTTTCTGGTTGACAACAAAATGACATTTGAATGACGTTCGGGGTCCTCAGGCACCTTCGAGCTGACAATATGGAATAGTGCACCACTCTTCTCAGGGCCCCAGGCCCTGGACTTCTAGGCTGCCTCGTCTCTGGCTCTCTTCGGTACTACAGGGGTTCTCCGCATGGCTTTTCTACTGAACTGGGGAGTGTGGTTGAGATCCACACATCCAAATCGCGTTTTAAGACGTACCAGATCCCGTCCTGGAGCACTCTTGGGCGTCTTTCGAGCTGTCTTGGAGGCCACCGTCATTGGAAAACGGTTGATGTCTCGATGGTTTTAGCATTCTCACCTATTCGGCCCTCATGGCTCGCGAGACGTCCTAAGACGCGATAGAGATCGACACCCGACAAACCTGGAGGCTTCCAGGAGGGACCCAATAGCGCCCTAGACGGCGCAAACAAAGGAATGTGGACCAACCTTGGGAGCCGCCCCCCTTCCCCCGAAAAACAGCGTGCCCGAGACCACAAGCAGACCCGAGAAGGGTCTCAAGAGGCACCCAGAGGCCACCACGAGGGCCTCGATAGGCTCTCCGAAAGACCCCAAGAGCCCTTTCTGGTCCACGACTAGGGCTTGGTGGCGGGTTGGGCCGAGGGCCATCATATTGCTGCTGCGTCGAGGTGCGAATCAAAAGGACGGGGAGCGCACACTACAGCATCGAAACGAATCGGTGGTGCAATCGTGACCAATGGTACTACCTTGTGGCACAGCCAGCCGCAGATGACAACGGCAGAACTGCATATCCGCATACGCGCGTATGCATACGTGCGTGCACCGAGAGGGAGAGATGGGGCATGGATGGTGAACTACACAGGTGGTGCATGGGCACACCGAATACGACGGACACGGGATGCAACGCGACACGATGAATTGCTATAACGGCTGCACGCCTCTAACACGAACGCATGGGATATGCTGTCAAGCAATACACTGCAAGCACAAATGGTCCGCGGACGGTATCATCAACTCAAGCGTTGCCGCATCATGTTCGCGCTCGCAAGATGGAGGGCGAGAGGGAATGCGATGGCAGGGTCAGGAGGATGGCAAAAAACATGAACGGCGAGAAATAATAATAAGAAAAACGGAAAGGACAGACCATTGGTGAGCAGAGAGATAGGGAGAGTGAGACTGAAGGGTAACGATCACGACTGAGAGGGACAGGGAGATGGAGACTGATGGGGGAGGCATGCATGATGAAGATAAAGGATGAGGAGGAACCAAGACGAGCAAGACGTAAGGAAGCGGGGAGGGAAGGACATATAATAGGGGGCGCAGGAGAACGACAACGCGGAGTAGGGAGAACTAGAGGATGAATAAGGAGTAGGGTGATACAGAAAGAGCCCACTTGATGCTCGCACATGCATCTACAACTTCATCGTACCACAGCGTGGTCCTCTGGAGATCTGGAACCTTCCCCCGTGACCAACCTCTCATCCCGCATCGCTTGTTGACAGTCCAAAGGTCCAATAGAAGCACCTGGAGGCCGAAAGTGACAGAGAACGATATCCATTGTGATTTTCGTCGTCGTCGTGAGGAGGGCCAGGTAGGCGTAAGAGGAGGAGATCGACTACATAATTGAGTTAACCAAAATCCCATCAACCCTCTGGGCGCAAGTGGTTTGACGGGTTTTGTCTGCTCTCCCCGTCCTTCCCCTGCTCGGGGGAGGGGTGCATAACTGGCTCTATGGATATGCATCCCCTCCCCCAGGCGACAGGCAACCAACCAGGAACAATGCCGACCCTATGCTTTCCACCACCAGCCGCCCATGTGAAACAGCTATGAACCAAACTCTGCCTCCAACTTCGGAGCATGCGCAACCATCCCGATGCGGGCCCCAACACCAGCACTGACAAAACACACACTTCAAAATACACGTTACACGTTAGGGAAACGTCGTGAGTCATGTTTGTGAGGCCCGCGGGCACTTTACATTGTTTTCTGATTGGGGCGGCAGGGGAGTCAGCGTCAGCGTATTGCCTACTGTGCGCAGGGCCACAATTCCTGTCAAAACAATACACATTGCACCTCGCGGCTAAATCTGGATCGTGCGCGGCCGCCCCGCGATCACTGTCAAGCGGTTTTGGCAGGAAGGTAGGGTGGTGGCGTATGGCCTGCTGTGCGCAGGCCCTCCAGACACAATGATGGTGATCGGTTTCGGTAATAAGGGTGGTGGGTGTCGACACGCTTCCCGATGTGTGCTGCCACGTGCGCAAACGCACCTGGCACACTCTGCACGTTCCCCGAACGTGGCGCACCTGGCCCGGCTGTGCTGTGCGGGACTCCTGGCGCACGTGGAGCACGTGGCGCATCTGGCGCACCAAGCGTGCCTCGCACGCTCAGGCCCCAGGGGTGTCTGGCGCGCGCGGCGCGCCTGGCACGCCGGGAGCACATCGCCCCAACGTCGCGCTATGGGGTCGGTTTTGGTTCTCAGTAGCTGCCCATCCAAAGACGACCGCTGAACATGCTGAGGCTCGGGTGCTACTCATGTGTTGGGACGGCGGGTGGGAGTGAGCTAGACGGCGTGCGCTATCTGGGAGGGCGTCTTGACCCCTCCCCATACCCGCTCCCCTGGGCCTCGGAGAAAGAGAGCGGGGGGCGAGCAGTTCGAGTTTCAAGATGGGCCCAAGATGGCGCACAGAGGGCCTCGGCAGCCCAAGACGGCCCCCAAGATGGATTAAGACAGCCGAGGATCATCACAATAGGTCCCTACATACCTCCAAGAGGCCCCGCGACAGCCCTACGACAGTCCCAGTTGCCAGCGGAGCCTTCCTATGCACCCTCCAAGAGGCGGACATCTTTCTTAAACGCACTTGAAGAGCACATACTGAACCTAAGGAAATCAATGTTGTGTGCCTTCTCGCCGTTTCGCGTCCCAGGGGATTTAGAGGCCTCAATATGGCCCAAGGGAGCCACAAGAGGGGCTCAAGAGCGCCCCAAGACGGTCCCAAGAGCGCCCAAGAGACGCCCAAGAGTGGCCCCAGAGGAACCCAAGACGCACTGTTTGAATCTCCGAGGGGGGGACCCGAATTCCCCCCCTCCCCCACTTCTGCTCGAGCCGTGAGTGCCAAGAGGCCTCCCAAACCCTCCCATGAGCCCCACGAGAGCCCCAAGCCCACAACAACGAGCCCTCGGAAGGCCCCAAGGGTGCCCCAGGAAGCCCCGCAGGGACCCCAAAAG